CTAGACTGTTCCTGAGAGAGCATGCAGACGAGCAAGGAAGCAGGTAGGATATCTATCACGTGGGCGGAGTCACATGAGCAACGTTGTACCTTGTCGCAGCTACCTTACCACTTTCTGACGTGGAACTCATACAGGATTGTTCGTTGCAGTCTACATTACCTCCCTCATGAACAGTCTAGATTTGTGAGCGATCTTGGGTTCTGTCTTTAACAGTTAGTGAACGACGGGCTAACGCCACACCCAGCTCGCCCCTTGACTCCAGGAAAACAACTGGTTACAGTAACTCCAGAAGTTGCGCGGGTAATCAGATGCGAGTAGCAAGATTGAAATTTATGACTCAATGATATTACCCTTTATTCTAATTTTTCCAGAGGACCTGGATACGATGGAAGAGTTCCAACCTTCGCCTTCCGTCAGAAGCAAAAAGGACGACGATCTGAAGTCGGAGCTGTCGTTCATTATGAAAGAAAAGCTGCACGTCATGGCTAGGGAGGTACACGTTTGAGTCAAGAGAGCTCGTCATGCTGTGAACGAGTAATTGTCTAACAAGCCTCATAATAGGTACAAAGAAGGACATCTGCTGTGCGAGAGAGTCTGATCAAAGAAGAGCCCGAGGATACGTTCTCCACCACCTCAGCGTCTGTACCGACGGAAGAGCAGCAACCAAGCTTGATGTCCCTTATTGGGTTGCAAGTACGTGTTGGCGCTGTTGCAAAACTCAGAAAATCAAAAAACAGGGTTCGTTTCCAGAAAGAGGGTCAAGACGATGCAGAGGATGAGGAAAAGTGGCAATGTCGGCTGCCAGAGACCCTACATCCATATGGTCAGCAATCTTCATCTCCTTTATCCCATCTACTTTTGGCCAAATGTGACTTTCAGGCCGAATTTACATGACATGGCTGTTCTTGGTGACGAGCGCCTTTCTTTACAATGCATACTGTATTCCGCTCAGAAGTTCGTATCCCTACCAAACTAAATCGAATCTTCTCTACTGGCTGATACTGGATTACACCTGTGATATCATCTATTTCATCGATATGGTTCTTATCAAGCCGAGACTCAGGTTCATGAAAGGAGGGATATCAGTCGTAAGTCACTGGGAATTATTATTATATAATCGAAGGCCTAGGCTGCGTTCAGACTTCGCGATGACGCGTGCCGTCAGACTATCGTTGAGGTAGCTCTCCATATTTAGGGCAGCAATGCAGCTAAACTATGAGCGCCGGCCGCTGGCGTTTCGAAAGAGTGTAGGAGAATAGGAGTGTGTCAGATTGTGTGAAGGCGCTATAAAATAGCAACATTCCTGACTTGCGATCACTATGCAGGCCATTATATGTTATGATGTCTAATCATGCTGTATGCTACCCTCCTATTCTCCTACACTCCCCAAATCACCGGGGACGACGATCGAACCGACTAAAGCCTCGTGCGCTACCAGAGCATTGCAGAGGTCGTTTCAGAGAGAGGAGGGGTCGTATTTACTTCAGAGAAATGCCTGTT